TGTCATGCGTGTGATGGCTGGATGACTATGACTATAATTTTGTTTAATGGCCTACTTATTATGGAATTCAGTAGCTCGCGGAAATTATATAATGGTCTTTTATAAAGGATACATAACAATGAGGACTAGCATTTCTATCTCCAGGTCTATCGTTAATTACCAGACGCCTATTAGTCATGATTTCTTTTCGATCAAAATAAAAAGTAACAATTTACTAAAAATACATGTCTCTCGTTTAATAGCAGTGCTGTAGAAAATGAGATCTTCAATAGTTGAAGAATTTTTTATTATTTAATATATTAAAAGAACATATACCTTAATTCGAGTACTCTTCACGCATTTCTTTTAGCTTCACCAAAATAATTCGAATAATTAAGCATTAATGCTCACTGCTTCGTAAAGAGCAGCATATATTACTCTTCCAATCAATAACTAAAGCAAGCGTGATTGCCTACTCACTGTTTAATAAGTAGTATGCAACCTAGGTCAGTCTGCCCATATAATTACCAGTCATCCATTATGGTGGTCAAGCAAGGGCTCTAAATAGATTTGAGTATTTTCAGAAAGAATGCGCCACACCATTGGTAACAACTTTAATCTGCCTTTAAACTAAATTTCATAAGCATTCTCGATGCTCCAAACAAAATATCGCAGTACCACAATTTTTGCTGCGTGAGTTACGCAAAGTCATACACTTTAAGCTCTGATATTGAACCACATGCGTATAAATAGCATCTAAACCCAGGACTAAACCCAGTGAAACACCTTTTCTCCTCTTGCCTTAAAATATGAATGGGCAAAAGACTGCACCACTAAAAGGGCGGTCTTTTACATCTCAGACAAGCTGTGGGTTCAAGGCTCAAAGTCCTACCACTATATCTACCTGGACAAAGCTCAACTCAGTTGAGTCCGTTTCGCCACAATTTCAAGTGCAAGAAAGGCACGTGACATAAGTGGCACAACTGACAAGTAGTCAAAAGGTTTCACTATTACAAGCATCAAAGACCTCATTTAACTCTCTATACCGAAGAATGATTGTGTTGCAATGGCATGTGTCTACGCAACATTACTTGTCGCCTCCTACTTCCGCCTTCCACGCTGTGCTGGCCTTGTTCGCGTTTAAATTAACTTTAGGTGTTTGGTTGAGCCCACGTGAGATCACGAAACGTTAAATCATGTGGAAATCTAGCCATAACACTAATGTGAGTCAGGCAGAGTAGGAAAGTTTATTCAAGCATGACTGACGAATTTTATACTTCACCTGTACTGCGAATGTATCAGAATACGACGTGAGGTCACATTCTCGTCTCATGAAAACGGCGAATGCCATAAAGACAGGCTAAAGGAGATGAAACAGTCGTGATGGCTTCCACTTAGAAAGGCGCAAGAATTGCCTTACAAAACAAATAAACTTTTTAGCTATTGACTCGCAATGGCAATTTATTGTGCTTTTAATTTACACCCAAAGATATGGATCTTTTGTCCCTGGTTAATAGAGCTGAAGCCGATGATTTGGGCAAAGCAAGCATTGGACACATGCATGTGAATGGCAACAAATTCTGCAAACTTTAATGATTTCGGTTAATACCGGCGGATCAGCAAAATAACCCGTCCTCGTGGGTAATGAAATATTTACTTATAATTTATCAGTAGCAGTTATTTGGTAATATTTAAAAGGTTAGACATCGATGAATATGAATGCAACATCAAACTGAGAAAGTGACTTGGACTACATCGCAACCACTGAGGAATTATGCAATAAAGTTAAATTGTACACTTTTTAGATTTTTGTATATCATCGAAATGAAGGTAAGTTAAGACCGCAGGTGCGCTGAGTGCAGCCCGAGCGATCCTATGCGTGATCTTGCCTAGATTTCCTTTGGAGGCTCAACAAGTTGGAAAGGATTTTGAATGACTTGGGACCTAAAAAATAAGGCGTCAAATATGTGAAGACTTTCGCAGTTTAACCATTAAGATAGCATTGAATTAAGCAAATAATGAAGAACTTGATTAAAAATTTTTGTTGGAACACTCAAATGCCGACAGCACATCCAGTTTTTGAAACGAACATAAGCACAGGGTTTCTTAAGTCACCACCAGCACAGTATTTTAGGGTCCAATTTTTATGCTTTGAATGATTGGCTGAACAAAGTTTGTCAGGAGACCAAATTATGCTAGTCATTATTAATCAACGTGTCTGAGGCGATACTTGAAAAATGTGTAAATATTAGTTTGGAAAAATCCGCTAATTATAAAATTGAAAAAGATTTTTTATTGAGATCAGACTTTCTCTGAGCCTCCATCAATATAGTTTTTTAGCTTCACTGAGGTTGACGAAGTTCGATATATGACTGAGGAGATACCAATGGCCATGGCATCGGACGACTCTTCAACGATGCCCTCCACCGACCCCTGGACTTGGGCAGAGCAGCACAATCTCAAGGACTAGTTAGTTAAAGGTTTATATACTCTCACAATTATTTCAAAGGAACAAGTTAATAAGGCTTATCTTAAAGTGATTCACTTCTACTAAGATTTCCTTATCAGCACTCTGTGCATGCTACGATTGTGACAATAATCACATGCTTTTGGGTATTGAGTTTGATGCATATGGCAAAGTACGTATTCTTGTGAAATTTCTTCTACTTAATTTAAATAAGTAAAACGTATGTAGCTTAAATATTAAATACACCAGCTTGAAAGCAGTGAGCGGAACAAGCCAAATATGGCTAGCAGATGAGTGGGCCAAGATGATGGAATGACAGTTAGGCAACGAAATAAACATTAATTGTACAATCTCAAGGTTGGAATGAAACTCGGACTGAGATTTGAACGGGTGACAGGCAAGCCGATGCCCTGAAAAACCGAGGTGTGAAGCAGTTGTCATTTAAGCACTGTATGCAGGGCTCAAGTGATACCAAAGAATATGATGAATGCAAAAGTATGGTTTGGAAAATTGGTAATAAACAAAAGATTCCGTGAAAGCTTTAAAGGAAATCAGAAGCAGGCAACAAACTTTGTGCCTTGTAGTTTTTAATTGTTCTCAATCTGCACAAGTGAAGTATTGTGTACAGGCTTTAATTGGTGCTTGCACTTTATTTGTGACTGCTGCGTCCTGCGGCTCTTTAACAAGTTAAAGAGGGTATTATGTGAGGCTTTGGCTTAGGATGAAGATCGGCATACGCATACGAGTGTAAAACGAGTGGCAAAGTAACCACTAGAGAGCATAAAATCACATCAGCAAAGCATTCCATCTGTAATGTTTTGTTTATGTGACTACCTAACGTTTGGCAGTCACTTTAGAATTTGTCTGGCCCCTGTACACGTGGGCTGGCCGTCGGGCCAAGCTGAGGCCCCATTTGCCCTGTCGTCTTCGGAATACATGTTATCAACCTCACCTACGCCTTCTTCTACCCTATGGGAAGCCTCGGGACGCTACACCATCGAATTTTAAGTCAAATTAATTGACCACAGAAAAACAAACATTGAGCTCGTTTTGATGCAGTGGTTGTCATAGGTGCCCTTTTCGATGAGGGCGAATGCGCTAAGCCTTGTGTTCAATGCAAGCGGTAAATCGTGTCCCCACAAATGCAAATCCGCCCTCTTACGCGGACCAAATCCTCTTCTGATTTAATGCTCATCATATTAATTTTAGTATACCATTTCCAATCATTTTTGCTGCTTTAACAGTTTCTGCGACTATTTTAGAGTAAAATTGGACTTATTCGCGCACATTAAAGCAGCCTTTTCTACAATATTGATTATAAAATAATGGTTGTGGCCAAGTCGATGCTACTTGTTCACGTTTCCTACTAAAATTTTCTTCTTTTTATTAACAGATGAATGATTGTGGCGCCTTAAATTGAGTTAAGAACAACTGGAATATCCTACACTAATGTCGTTGCAAATGCAGTCCTATTAGGAATTTAGGTGCTGGAGCTGATTGATTTTGCAAATCTTGGACGCTGGGTCCTCCAATGTCATCAAGGTGTCTAAATTCAAAGAGTTGGTGTTCCGTAAATTGTGCAGTAGCTTATGCCTTTGCAGAATGCTGCGCCTATCCCATCCACATCAGCACCGATGGTGTAGGAACAAAGTGATACAGCATTTACAAAAACTATGGTAGTGCATGCATTTAGGACGCCTTCGCAAAAAAAGGTTAAAGCTAGGTTCAGGCAGGGTCATGCACTGAAAATGGCCAATATAACTTCGCTGGGAGTACTGACCCTAGAGCGACACCTTGTTCCCATCTCCTGCTAGGTCTGATTGTAATCACTTAGTCAATGTTTTATGTCTTTTTATAATCGGAAAGTTCTCGAAGAAGTGTATTTTTCAAAACCAGAAGCAAAACGATGTGTGGGAATATAATTCCTTAAAAGTGACCACTGAATTATGCGTCTTACTTGAGAGAAAGAGGGCCTGCAAATGGAAAAAAAACGGTAATTTCCTAAAATAGGATAGCAAGAAGGGGACTATTGCTAATTTGTAGAATAAGCGCGCTGATACAGGCTCCATTTGGCCTTACATATTTAAAGAAAAGTAGGCCTATCAAGATCATCTACTGCAAAAGTGACCGCTTTAATACCTCAATTTAAGTTGCTAGTAATTTGATGCTTAAGGCTAACTATAACACTAGTGGCTGTTCTGATTTTGCATCGCAATCCTAGCAAGGTTATTTGTATTTAACTTAATATCGTTCTTTAAACTTCTCACTCAAGGTCACTCTTTGTGCACGCCATCGTTTGAGTATTCACAGTTCTCCAAGTGTCGGTGCTTTTCTTGTGTCCTTGTCGGTCTGATGGAGTCGTTTGCTGACTTTGACAACGCCACAATCTTTACAGCAAAAGCTCCAGTTGATGAGGAAGGGAAACTTATCGAGCGCTGGGCTCCACTTGGTGCAAACGATAGCCCGGATTTCAGCGCGGATGAGAATATGTCTCTTTCTGGCAGTGCATCATCTGACAAGCTGCGAAGCATCACTGAAGAACACGAGATTTTGAATTCGGCTTTGCTGTTGATTACATCGCATTGTGCCCAGGTATGCTTGAATTTCAGTTCGAGTGCATTTAGATCTTGTGCTCCTTGACTTATTTTACTTTACATCTTTTAAGTACGGTCTTGACTTTTTCTTTAACTTTGACGTTAATTAGTGGTAGCGAAATATCATTGGTAAATTTGTAGTCCGAGCAATGCGGGACTTCTTAATTTTCACTTGGAAATTACACTGGATCTTTTATATTCCATCCGAGTAATTTTTGTTGTTTTCTTATGCACCATACAATGTGAAAAGTTGAACTCGATAGTATGTAGGCGCGTTGAAAGTGTTTTTTAGTTTTCCAGTTGCAATGTTTGCTTGATTTTCGTAAAATTTTTTTGCTGCGTAATCTGTCTGCCATGTTGAACGGTGCACTTTGAATATTCGTCTTCTTGTACCATCAATATAATTTTTAATCCTTCAGTTTTTTGCTCACTTTCTCACTAAATTGGAACTTGTTAAGTACTCCTAATGTTTTCATTCTAGGTCCAATTTCGACTTGAGCAAGTGCTTCAAGCTGATCCAGAAGAAAAGGAGCTACTTCTTAAGGACTTGGAACAGTTTGCTTGGAAGGGTGTACCAGATTTGCATGCATTGCGGTTAAACCAAGTGGACTTACAGGTTTAGATTTTGTCAAGCCTTTTTTATTTGATCGTTTGCCTTGTTGTCCTGAGCAACGTAACTAATAGTAGGGTTGATATTTAGAGCTCTACTGAAAAATCGCAAGCTGATCAACAGGGAAAAAATATGTCTCACATGATTGAACAGTTGAAGTCACAGCTCAATGACTTGGAACAGTTTGCCTATAAAGTAAGCATTCTTCTCTGACTACTTCCCCGCTTTTGGATTCTATAGCATCGTCCTTGACTGGTGCTGAAGTAAAGGCGCTATTATGTGTGATAGTTTTATTCATCCAACTTAAAGGCTTGAAGTTTTGAATATTGTTGAGTGCTTGTCGACAAGTTTTTTTTCTGTGCTACTTAAGTCCGGTGAAATCCAACAACCGCCGACACAAAATGTACTTGAAAAGCAGCGGCTTGTGCTAGAGGAGTTGGGCAGGCATTTGGATCTCAACGTTTCCGAGTTTCCTACTCTCACTGCAGAAGAAATAAGAGAGCGCGTAAACTCCGGTCTGACTCAGGTTGGTTGAGTTCTGCCGATCCAGGTAGTATATGAAAAAACTTGAGTGCATTGGCTTTCACGATTCTAGGCCTTGAAAAGCATGACAACACTAATGGATGACACCAGCTCAGGCACTCATGTAAATGGTGCGAGTTAGTCATCAGAGCTTTGCATCAGATAGGTTTCAACTTTATTTTGTCATCTAAAGTATACAAAAGCAAGCTGTCGGCATGAATTTGTTTAAGCTGTTTTTAACAACCACATTTTGCATTCCGCTCTGCTGAAAATACGTGTGCAATCAATTGCTTGAGTTCTCTTTGTACTTTCTAAGTCAGACTTATTTCCCATGAATAAGTGTACGGTTTGATTTGTAGTTTACAAAGCCTCTCAAAACGAACGAGGCTTTGGTCAACCAACTTAAAACACAGATAATTGATTTGGAGCGTTTCATCGACTTCCTTCATGGTAGGTTTGCGATTCCCTGATGCAACTACGACCTTTTGCTATTCCTTACTTGACAGGATAAATGGCTTCGTTGTAGACGAGGGTACACCAGACTCGGTGATCGGTAAGGCTCTTGAGGCATTTAGACGATATCAGCAGGAAGCGCGAAGTCGAACTCCTCCCGCTGCCACATGTGAGGGAGAAGGCGAACCCGGTTACGTCGAGGGTGGCTACCAAATTGGCCTTTCACGTCGTCGACAGAATGGACAGGTGAATACTGGTTTGCCTTCCTCTCGCCTTTCCTTTGTTAATCAAGTTGGCTGGGAATGTGGATGCTCTTAAGCTAGAATCCCTGATTAGCGAAAGTTGAAGGCATTGCATTGTTTTATTCATAATGTTGATCGAGTTAGAGCTGTAAGTGTTGCCCCACAGTGTTGAACTGAGATTTATTTATACAAAGTGTTGGCAAAGCATCGACACTAAAGTGAGTGAATCTTCAACTCCCTCATAGCTTTGCATTTTTTTTCAATCACTTTGATGGCAGTAGCTGAATGATCCACATTCTAAAAGGCTCGACTCATTTGTTGCCGTGGTCACTTCCAAGTACACACACATAGAAGGCACATCTCACTAGCCGCTAGGCGTAGGCATCATATTTAAAAATTTATACATCCTTGCCGTGGTAAGTACTCAAGTTTGCTTGATTACTCACTCCAGCATTTGGCTAGGCGATTTAGCGTGTTTTTGTAGGCCTGTCGCGACTCCTTCAATTTTATTGCCTTCAGCTGTGAACCACCTTTTCCTCCACCAAATTGCACACGTTTCAGCAGTGTGCATAGATTACACATGCCTTATTTGTGATCCCTGCTTACTCAGCCTCTACCGTATGCACAAATGCTACTCTCTGCACACAAACAATGGCTATGATGCGTGTGCCGTGAGGCTACACCTTTGCAATCGCTCCCATCAAAGGCATCCTCCTAAGCTTGTCTTCATGGTAAATTGTAGACGGCATTCAAATCCTCGGAGGAGCCCGTTTCAAGGTCTGCAACACAATTAAATAATCAGGTCAGTCTACGCCTTTTCGAAGGCGTAGTTAGTTGTTTTCTCAGGCTGTGTTTGGGACATGACTATATGGCCGCGCAATACTGACGAGTTAGGTTATCCTTGCATCTCCCAACCAATCAGCTTTGAGCACGAGTCCGCGCCACCTCCGCTCCTCGTTCAGGCAGTAAAATTGAGCATCGGGCGGAGGTTGCGAGTCCTCGTAAACCCCCATCAAGTGGGCTGAGGCAAAAATGCCCTATTGATCCGCTAGGCCTTGTGATGCTTTTGAATTACATGTGACACTAAGACTGCATCCGGTCTTCACCAAATTGGTGGAGGCATAAATGCACAGGTTATTGTTGTCATTTGTAAGCATTGCTACCGACTCTTGCACGAAATATTCATGCGAATAGCCTATCTCGAGTTTCCAATGCATGAGGACTTATATTAACATGAAATGGGTTGTTTTATTCATATTTAAAAATGGAATATTGGTGGCTTGATGTTGTACAACAGTGGATTTCTTGGCCAAACACTGACATTGCTGCAGACGGAGGGTCTGAGTCGTCCCATGTAAGGCGTATTATTTCCTCATATGTGAGCCACCGACTTGGCTTGCCTGAACTGTTTGATGGGTTGAGTGAGGAACTTACATTTCTTTCCCACTCTGTTTTGAACGCATAAATAGAAGACCGTGGGATTAATCACACGAGCCTTGACAATGCTTCAAGTGTTCGCCACCATGCAGTTAGCAAGTCGCCGTGCCAAGATGCATCAACAAGCCGAAAGGTATGCCCAATCAGCGGGTACACGAAAGGGTAAGTCTGGCTTTGCAGTCCTACTTCTTGCAAGTTTTGAGGACCAGTGATTTAGCCTTCAGTCTTGGAGAAAGCCACTTTAGTGGATGAGTAGTGCTTTTGTCTGACGCCATTTATGGGTAGATTATTGCCCTTTTTAATTACTTATGCAATTTTTTGCATTCACAAGTTGTAAAGCATGCAAACGGTGCCAAAATGCATCATTGGGGTGACATTCGAGCGCGCCTGGAAATGGCTGTAGAGATTGTGCTGGAAAAGGCAGAGCATCTTCATCAATTGAGACAAAAACACTCTCAAGATATCGAAGCATCTCCCGACTCGGCTTCTCCAACCTCAAATCAAAGGGTCCGACTACTGAGCGACAGTCGATTTCTCCTAGGAAGTACCGAAGTTAAGCCACAAAATGCAAGTTTTTTTGTGAATTCTGAGTAAGGATTGTTTATATATCTATTTATTTGAGTGCACTTAACTGCATGTCGATCGTGGTTACAGTCTCGGATGTGAATGCGTAAAATTATGCGTACTGGAGGGTACAAATGTGATGGTGTGTTTGTTGTTGAATGTATGTTAAGCATGGGCAGATGCTTTTGAGGATTCTTCCCTTAAAATGGAATATTTTAATTATCTGTCGGGAGGCTAGCTACAAAATTTATTTAAGCTTTTCAATTGACTAATTTGTAAGGAGAAGTAGATCTAAAGCATGGAAACTTCGCTATCAGCACGGTGCAGTGCATATCGACTGAGTAAAATGCGACTGCGTAAATGGGAGCATTTCTGTTTGTCACGGGAAATGACCTCATAACTGGCACTTGGTTGCAGGAGTTGCCTTGACTGGCAGATACTTTAGAGTGCTTACTGCTGCAGTATAAAAGGTATGGTGGGAGGTACTGACATGCGAAATGAATGTTTAAAACACTCGACTGGTGTAAAATATTTGTCAACGCATCGGCGGTGCACCTTGAAATGGAGTTGGACTTATTGGGAGTTTTTAGCAAATTCTGAGAGGCGAATGAGGAGAAAGTCTGATTGGGAGTTCTGGCAAATGCACTAACCTGTGTATGGCAAAACAGATAATTTCTGTTATTAGTTTATTTGTTTTAATAATTCTATTAACTGCTGGTGATTTCAATTCAACTAGGGTTCACCTAATCGGTATCACACACATTAAATTTGTCCATTTTGTATGTGAAGCAGAACTGCAGAGAAGGGGCAACTCCGATAAGCAAAATTTGATTTGAGGCGCAGTAAACTGCGCACATTGTAAGCGTTCGCATTAGGTATATTCGCGAAAATGATCTCTGTTTTAATCTACATTTTCTGACAGATTGAATGCATAAAAGCCGAGAGGGACCTAAATTTGGTCGTGCGTAAACTCTTCTGTCCGGCTCTTGAGGCACTAATTGAGCATGGCTCGCGTCTGCCGGCGTCTAGAGGCGGAAAAGTTGGTGATAGTAACAAAACCTCTGTTTTGAGTTCCCTCTTATCGCTAATGGGCTGTTACTCTCGAAATCGCCTCGAGGTAATCAGCTACCCAAACCGATTCATCGATAACAATGATGAGGAAGATGAGGAGGATGATGGTTCTGATGAGGGTAATGAGGGTACAAAGGTAGAAGATGAACCCAGAAGACATTATCTTGAATCATCGGAGGAGAAGCGAGCGCGCGTTCTTCGAAAACGAAATGCTCAGAGCTCAGCTTGGGCCATATTCCTCAAGTACTACATTTTGACGGTTAGTTTGCATCATAGATGGAACAATGTGTCTTAAGCCTAGTGTTTTCAATTTAGCCTTACACATTGAAATAACACGTGTTTCTTTGCCTTTATCCAGGGGTCTGCGCCATTTTATTCAGATTGCATGTGAATTTCGATTCTGGATATCATTTTTGACTCACATAGTTTTCACTGCTTCAGGCTAGAACTTTTTGTTTTATGTTCTACAGGAGCTATATAATGCCTCTCAACTTCACCATCAATAAAACTCATCTATTTAAAGTTTTATCGTTTTTTAAAATCTTTCCTGCAGAATGGGCGAGCATTCAATGATACCCCTGCGCGAACTTTATCCGAGAGCTTTGCTTTGGATATCATCGGGGGTAAAGTTGTTACTGCGAAACAGGTGCGCTTTTTAGGAACATTGTTCCTCTTTATCTACGGTACTTATTTGTATTTTGTGCCTTGGATTTTGACTCCTTGCCTTCATCACCTGTCGCATAATTTTTTTGCGTCTATAGCTTTAACTAAAATTACAGTAATGCGTAGAATGTATCTTCTTGAGTTTACAGAGGGATGTTTTGAAGAGTCTTGTCATTAAACTTGGTGTTTGGCACACAGTGAAACAAACATCAAGCTGATGCATAGTCGATTTTCTTTGCAGTCTTGCCTCCAACTTGACGGTGTGCATTACACGTTTGAAATTTCCCATTAGCTTATTTTCCGAGGAGTGGACTAAGGAATCTTAAAAGACGGTGCTCACGATAGGGACAATGTTTTTACGACGTCAGTGGTCGAGAGAAGTA